TCGTCGGTTAGGTCTCATATTTATACCACATATACTAGATGATATAATTAAAAGATTAAGCATATGAACGATATTTAGATGTAGTGTAATTGATTCGAAAACATTCAAATGCAAAATGACCCACAAGAAGGAAAAACTTGTGAGTTTCAATGAAACTTTTATTAGAAGTTCGGACAAAGAAAAAAACACGTACAAATGCATGTCCTTATAAAATGTTTTTGTTATGAAATTTTTCACAAAAATTGTTCAATATGTTTACCATCTAAATCTTTGCAAAGCTGAAGTCTCTCACGTACTGACTCGCAAGCTCTTCGACAAAATTCCACCCGTAAACTTTGTGTTTCGGTGATTACAGCATCTTTTAGTGCTTGGAGGTCTCGCGGCTTCGTCGCGTATACACGTTCTTTGATCAGAGCCCATAAAAAAAAATCAGTCGGGGTGAGATCTGGAGATCATGGTGGCCAGTCAATCCATCCACGTCGACCAATCCACCGATCAGGAAATGTTTTGTCCAGAAAGTGCCGAACAGATTGAGCGTAATGAGCTGGAGCTCCGTCATGCATATAGACTATCTCTTCTAAATCCATTTCACTTGCAATAGCGGGAACAATATCGTTTTGGAGCATCTTGAGATAGCTGTCTGCAGTAATATTATCCAGGAAGAAGAACGGTCCAATGACACCTCCAACCCAAATTCCAGCCCATACAGTGATGCCCGAGGTATTCATTTCTTGAGTAATGATGACATGGGGATTTTCTACGGCATAATAAACACAGTTGTGTCGATTGACATGACCATTCAACTTGAAAATGGCCTCATCGGTCCAAACAATTCGACTAAGCAAGGAAGAGTCGTCAGCTAATAAGTTGAGAAAGATGTCGGCAAATTCACAGCGTCTGTCAGGATCGTCTTCGTTCAATGCATGCAGTAATTGAGGACGATACGGTTTCAATCCCAGCTCCTTTATCATTCGTCGAAGGCTACTTCTATCAAGATTCAGTTCCAAAGAAGCTCTTCTTGCTGAAATTCCAGGATTTTCTTCAAAAGCAGCACGAACACGCTCCCTATTATTGTCTGTACTAACAGATCTAGGACGACCAGATCGAGGTTTATCTGCAACGCTTCCAGTTTCGTCAAATTTTTGTACAAGGCTCAAAATATTCTTTGATGTTGGCGGAGTTCGATTAAAATGATTTTGAAATTGACGAGCAACTTCAGATGCATTTTGGTAAATGGCGTACCATTTCACAATTTCAATTTTTTCAGATGACGACAAACGAAAACTTTTACTCATGATGAGGAAAATGTGAAAAAATATTAAAGCTATGTAAACAACATAAAATGTAAAGAGAACCGAAAAATAAACCAGTCGACAAAAGAGATAACCATTAGTATTGTTATCTCCTAGATGGCACTCCTCACTCATATAAGTACTACAGGAGAACAATCAATAGTACGTGCGGTCTTTTTTTTTACATATGTTGTATTTGTATGCTCTTGGATTAATTACACTACATCTAAATATCATTCCTATGCTTAATCTTTTACTTATATCATCTAGTATATGTGGTATAAATATGAGACCTAACCGACGATCTATAAGATAGAAATGGAAAAAAATACTATTTTTCCTTACTTTTGACCCACCCGGTACATATATCGACTGAGTGGATTTAGTAGAAATACTGCAGGCACAGTTTTCTGTAGAAACTCTCCATGATTAGATATATATTTATATGCTCTTGTCAGGTATGTGTTCTTCCTTACCTACTGTCTCTTCTTAGATTGAAATGGTTAGCATGAACAACAGTGCTGAATTAACTAAATCCTCATTTTCAAAGAAAAATGGGTTAGTCGGTTCAAACAACAAGCCAAAGGCAATAGCAAATGCACAAAATGCAAGAGACGTTCAGCACAAAACTATCAATCGAATAAAAAATTACACATTTCAACAGAACATGTATGACTTATTCTTTTAATGTAAAATATTATTGTTGTTGCTCTTTCCTAGGAAATATTTCTACTGGTCAATGCTGGGTTTTATACCCAAGCCTATCTTTGTATTGCCTATGATTACAAGTATAGTTACGATCATGGGGTTGCTGGTAGTTTGTTTTACTGCACCGAAATCTTCAGGTAGGTATTTGTTGCTTTGTATTCTTCGTATTCAATACGATAAAAATCCATAGTGAATTTGGTTCTGTTTTATCAATATTGTGAGTTTGGGTTAAAAAAATTTGAATTCTAATAAGATATTTGATATCGACATGTTCGAAACAAATTATCAAGCAAGAAAAGAATAATAAACATTACAACGACTTCACTTTTCCATTTTAAAGTAGCAATGACGAATGCAAGCCAATCGAGGTGATCATCATTAAAAGATCTAATGCTTTTTCCATAAATCGGATCCTTTCATTTTACTTATTGGCAGTGACTATAGATTAGAAAAGAATTCCAGAAAGAATCTTCCCATTACTACTTTGTTCTAAAGAAAGTAGAATAATAAGTTTCTCTAGAATAGAGATTATTGCGTTTTCTATATTTTTCTTTCATACACCGACACAACAGATATTTCACAATCTGATTTTTTACAAGTTGATGTTACACATTGTTACTTGTTGCAGAAAGATCAATCTTATCGAATTCAATGTTCTTGAATCACTGTTTCTCTTATTTTTGGAAGTATTCTTTCACGTCTCTGAATGGAAACAGCAGCTTATCCTGGATGCCTCTTTCTCTATCTCATCAACTTATTTTGTGATATAGTAGAAGTGCGAAAGAATAATAGAAAATACAGGCGATTTTTCTCACTTTATATTGCTTGCAGACAAGAGTAAGTAGTATATGTGTTTCATCTACATCTTCTTTCGTTCTTCTAGTATTCTCTCATACAATCGTTTTACTTTTGTCTTTTTGTATGACTTATATGTGTTCTATGTTATATTCATCACTGAGTTCTCATATCTTTATCATATCCTAGCGAATTATTTTCGTTACCATGGTTCAAAAATAGTAAAATTTTGTATATACATAATAAAACTGAAAAAAATATTTATCCCTATTTGTGATTGAACAGATCGATAAAAATCATTGATTGCTCACTATACGAAATGCAGTAGAGATAAACAGTTGCATGCTTGTCACGCAAAAACTATCAGTGAACATGCGTTGTCCATATGAGGAAATTACTGACAAATACACTAACTATAGTAGATCGTCTTCATGCATGGTTAATCAGTCAGTAGATTCACATTCGCTTCTTGAGCGGCATAATTTTGTTCATTTTTATTCTCAAGCATTCGTAGCAGACTTTGTTATATTCTGTTTGTTATTCTAAATTACTACTCCAAAATATTGATCGGATCACTGAGAGTATTACACAACAGTACAGTTTTGATATCCGTTTGATTCTGCAATAGTGTGGCACAGCACAGTTTTGCAACGAATTCTACAGTAAATGAGAAGATGGGAACAAACAAGAGGTTTAATTGATGAATTTCCATATCTAACTTTATCTGAATTCGAAGAAACTAAGCAGAGTTCTTTTGCACGATGATGGCTATATACTGTCTCTAAATAGAGCCATTTGGTAACTTATGGCAGCTTATGATAGTAATTGTAATAACTCAAAACAATGTAGGACGAATACTTCTACTGGAGTAAACAATCAGTCATCCTATTCTTTTTCATGTATCGTTTAGTTCCAAAGTGCGGTCTCAATTTCAAACCAACGGCTCAAAAGCCAGTTGAATATAAGTATGGTCCACGATCTGTCGCCATCGGCGATTTCGATAATGACACCGTTTTGGATATGGTTATTGCCAATCATATCGTGAACAAAATAGCTGTGTATTTAGGAAATGGTGATGGCAGCTTTAGAAATCCAACCATGTATTCAACAGGTTCCTACTCTAATCCTTACATGGTTACAGTTGCTGATTTTAACAATGACAACCGATTGGATATTGCAGTAGCGAATTTCGGCACTAACAATATCGGGATCTTTCATGGATTTGGGAATGGATCTTTTGCAAGTCAAATAGAACTTTCAACAGGCTCATCTCGTCCGATAGCAATTATTGCCGTTGATTTCAACAATGACTCACTACTTGATATTGCCATTGCGAATTACGGAACTCACAGTGTTAGTATATTCTATGGATATGGCCATGGAAATTTTTCGTCTCCAATTACGTATTCAACAGGTTATGATTCTCTTCCATCCTCATTAGCCGCTGGAGATTTCAATAACGACAACTATTTAGACCTTGCCGTCGCCAATTATGGCACGAATAATGTTGGCATACTTTTTGGAAATAGTAACAGAACTTTTGAAAAACAAATCACGTTTTCAACTGGACTTAGTTCCCATCCATACTCAATTGCGGTCGGTCATTTCCATACCGATAATTTCCTGGATATCGCTATCGCGAATTCCGGAACTCGCAAAATTGGTGTACTCTCAAACAACGGTAATGGAACTTTCGCTAATCAAGCCACCTATTCCAGCGGTTCTGCTTCTCCATATGCGATTGCCGTCGGAGATTTCAACCAAGATAATCGATTAGACATCGTCATCACTAATAATGGCATTGAAAATATAGGTGTACTTCTTGGATATGAAAACGGTCATTTTGAAAATCCAATTATGTATTCAACTGGATCTTATTCTTCGATTTCTGTTGCCATAGGTGATCTCAATAAGGATCATCGATTAGATATTGTGATCGTCAACAATGATACTGGTAGCATAGATATTCTCCTTGGTTATTTTGAGGGTTTTTTAAACCAAACAACGTATTCAGCTAGCTCTTTTTCAGCATCTGTAGTTGTTGGTGATTTCAACAACGACACTCGACTAGATATCGTTGTCGCCAATACGAATAGCAATGATGTGAGTGTCCTTCTTGGAAATGGAAATGGTTCTTTTGAAAATCAAACAAGGTATTCAGCTGGCTCTCGGCCACGATCTGTAGTTGTTGGTGATTTCAACAACGACATTCAATTAGATATCGTTGTCGCCAATGCGGGTAGCAATGATGTGAGTGTTCTTCTTGGTAATGGAAATGGTTCTTTTGAAAATCAAACAAGGTATTCAACTGGCTCTTCTCCAGCATCCGTAGTTGTTGGTGATTTCAACAACGACACTCGACTAGATATCGTTGTCGCTAATTATTATAGCAATGATGTGAGTGTTCTTCTTGGAAATAGAAATGGTTCCTTTGAAAATCAAACAAGGTATTCAGCTGGCGTTTGGCCACGATGTGTAGCTATTGGTGATTTCAACAACGACACTCGGCTAGATATCGTTGTCGCCAATTGGTATAGCAATGATGTGAGTGTCCTTCTTGGAAATGGAAATGGTTCTTTTGAAAATCAAACAAGGTATTCAGCTGGCTCTTTTCCAGCATCTGTAGTTGTTGGTGATTTCAACAACGACACTCGACTAGATATCGTTGTCGCTAATTATTATAGCAATGATGTGAGTGTTCTTCTTGGAAATAGAAATGGTTCTTTTGAATATCAAACAATGTATGGAGCTGGCTCTTATCCAGCATCTGTAATTGTTGGTGATTTCAACAACGACACTCGACTAGATATCGTTGTTGCC